CTCTCTCTCTCTCTCTCTCTCTCTCTCTCTCTCTCTCTCTCTCTCTCTCTCTCTCTCTCTCTCTCTCTCTCTCTCTCTCTCTCTCTCTCTCTCTCTCTCTCTCTCTCTCTCTCTCTCTCTCTCTCTCTCTCTCTCTCTCTCTCTCTCTCTCTCTCTCTCTCTCTCTCTCTCTCTCTCTCTCTCTCTCTCTCTCTCTCTCTCTCTCTCTCTCTCTCTCTCTCTCTCTCTCTCTCTCTCTCTCTCTCTCTCTCTCTCTCTCTCTCTCTCTCTCTCTCTCTCTCTCTCTCTCTCTCTCTCTCTCTCTCTCTCTCTCTCTCTCTCTCTCTCTCTCTCTCTCTCTCTCTCTCTCTCTCTCTCTCTCTCTCTCTCTCTCTCTCTCTCTCTCTCTCTCTCTCTCTCTCTCTCTCTCTCTCTCTCTCTCTCTCTCTCTCTCTCTCTCTCTCTCTCTCTCTCTCTCTCTCTCTCTCTCTCTCTCTCTCTCTCTCTCTCTCTCTCTCTCTCTCTCTCTCTCTCTCTCTCTCTCTCTCTCTCTCTCTCTCTCTCTCTCTCTCTCTCTCTCTCTCTCTCTCTCTCTCTCTCTCTCTCTCTCTCTCTCTCTCTCTCTCTCTCTCTCTCTCTCTCTCTCTCTCTCTCTCTCTCTCTCTCTCTCTCTCTCTCTCTCTCTCTCTCTCTCTCTCTCTCTCTCTCTCTCTCTCTCTCTCTCTCTCTCTCTCTCTCTCTCTCTCTCTCTCTCTCTCTCTCTCTCTCTCTCTCTCTCTCTCTCTCTCTCTCTCTCTCTCTCTCTCTCTCTCTCTCTCTCTCTCTCTCTCTCTCTCTCTCTCTCTCTCTCTCTCTCTCTCTCTCTCTCTCTCTCTCTCTCTCTCTCTCTCTCTCTCTCTCTCTCTCTCTCTCTCTCTCTCTCTCTCTCTCTCTCTCTCTCTCTCTCTCTCTCTCTCTCTCTCTCTCTCTCTCTCTCTCTCTCTCTCTCTCTCTCTCTCTCTCTCTCTCTCTCTCTCTCTCTCTCTCTCTCTCTCTCTCTCTCTCTCTCTCTCTCTCTCTCTCTCTCTCTCTCTCTCTCTCTCTCTCTCTCTCTCTCTCTCTCTCTCTCTCTCTCTCTCTCTCTCTCTCTCTCTCTCTCTCTCTCTCTCTCTCTCTCTCTCTCTCTCTCTCTCTCTCTCTCTCTCTCTCTCTCTCTCTCTCTCTCTCTCTCTCTCTCTCTCTCTCTCTCTCTCTCTCTCTCTCTCTCTCTCTCTCTCTCTCTCTCTCTCTCTCTCTCTCTCTCTCTCTCTCTCTCTCTCTCTCTCTCTCTCTCTCTCTCTCTCTCTCTCTCTCTCTCTCTCTCTCTCTCTCTCTCTCTCTCTCTCTCTCTCTCTCTCTCTCTCTCTCTCTCTCTCTCTCTCTCTCTCTCTCTCTCTCTCTCTCTCTCTCTCTCTCTCTCTCTCTCTCTCTCTCTCTCTCTCTCTCTCTCTCTCTCTCTCTCTCTCTCTCTCTCTCTCTCTCTCTCTCTCTCTCTCTCTCTCTCTCTCTCTCTCTCTCTCTCTCTCTCTCTCTCTCTCTCTCTCTCTCTCTCTCTCTCTCTCTCTCTCTCTCTCTCTCTCTCTCTCTCTCTCTCTCTCTCTCTCTCTCTCTCTCTCTCTCTCTCTCTCTCTCTCTCTCTCTCTCTCTCTCTCTCTCTCTCTCTCTCTCTCTCTCTCTCTCTCTCTCTCTCTCTCTCTCTCTCTCTCTCTCTCTCTCTCTCTCTCTCTCTCTCTCTCTCTCTCTCTCTCTCTCTCTCTCTCTCTCTCTCTCTCTCTCTCTCTCTCTCTCTCTCTCTCTCTCTCTCTCTCTCTCTCTCTCTCTCTCTCTCTCTCTCTCTCTCTCTCTCTCTCTCTCTCTCTCTCTCTCTCTCTCTCTCTCTCTCTCTCTCTCTCTCTCTCTCTCTCTCTCTCTCTCTCTCTCTCTCTCTCTCTCTCTCTCTCTCTCTCTCTCTCTCTCTCTCTCTCTCTCTCTCTCTCTCTCTCTCTCTCTCCTCTCGTCCTCCTGACGAAGGCCTTGGCGACGTCGTCCATGGCCGGCAGGTAGCGGCTGACGAGGGCCGGGTCGGTGATCGGCTTCTGGACACGACGCCGCACCCGCCACCATTCCTCGCCCTGTCTGAGGGAGAGGGGAGAGGAGAGGAGAGGGAGAGGGGAGAGGAGAGGAGGGGAAGAGGGAAGAGGGAAAGAGAGGGAGAGGGAAAGAGAGGGGAAGAGAGGGAGAGGGGAGAGGAGAGGAGAGGAAGAGGGAAGAGGGGAAGAGAGGAAGAGGGAAAGAGAGGGAGAAGGGAGAGGGAAAGAAAGGGGAAGAGAGGCAGAGGGGAGATGGAAAGAGAGGGAGAAGGGAGAGGGAAAGAGAGGGAGAGGGAAAGAGAGGGAGAGGGGAGAGGGAAAGAGAGGGGAGTATATAGACTATGTTTTTTCTTGTTATGTGATAAAAGAGATATTGCAAATAAGAAGAATGAGAGGGTGTGGAAGAGACAGAGAGGGAGGGAGGGAGGGAGGGAGAAGGAGAGAGAGAGAGAGAGAGAGAGAGAGAGAGAGAGAGAGAGAGAGAGAGAACGAAAGACAGCCAAGCATAAATAGAGAAACAGAGAAAATGGAGAGGCAGACAGAGAAAGAGAATAGAGAACTAGAGAACAGAATACAAGAAAAAAATAAATAAATAAATAAATAAAAAATCCACTCATCCACTTACTCAGCCAAAATCCCTGCTCCTCCATCAAACACGCCCACCCGAGGACATCCCCCTCCTTCTCTCGTCCTCCTCTCCCCATCTTCTCTCGTCCTCCTCTCCCCATCTTCTCTCGTCCATCTCTCCCCATCTTCTCTCGTCCTCCTCTCCCCATCTTCTTTCGTCGATCTTTCTCCATCTTCTCTCGTCCATCTCTCCCCATCTTCTTTCGTCGATCTTTCTCCATCTTCTCTCGTCCATCTCTCTATACCTTCTCTCATCCTTCTCTCCCCATCTTCTCTCACCCTTTCCTCTCCGTCTTCTTCTCTCGTCCTCCTCCCTCCATCTTCTCTCTCCCTCTCCCTGTGACTCTCACCTCTCTCTCCTCTCCCTCTCTCCCTGTGACTCTCTCTTCTCTCTCTCCTCTCTCTCGTCCTCCTCCCCTCCTCCCGAATCTTCTTGAGCGAGGTCAATCCAGGTCGAACCGGGTCAAGTCTCGTGGCCTCGAACATAGCGCACACGTCCTCCGGGTTAGTTATAAAGACCATATTCGGATGACCGGGCATGTCCTTCCGGAAGATCGGGCCAAATTCTTGCTCCAACGCTTGCCAGAACAGGTACACGCGGGTCGGATCGAAGGCTGGTTTGGGAGGCGAAAGGTGTGGTTAGATCGTTAGTCTGTTTGTTTGTTTATGTTTTGGTTTTGTGGGTGATCTTTGATTTTGGTTTGTTTGTGTTTTTGAAAGTTTTTTTTGGTTTGTTTGTGTTTGTTGAGAGTTTCTTGGTTTGTTTGTGTCTTTTGAAAGTTTCTTGGTTTGTTTTTCTTTGAGAATTTGTTTGTTTTTTGTTTGCTTTTGTGTGTCTTTGAGAGTTTGTTTGTCTGTTTGTTTGTCTGTTTGTTTGTGTCTTTGGGACTCTGTTTGTTTGTATGGAGATTTTTTTGTTTTTTGTTTTGAGGATTTGCATTTGATTGTTTAACTCCAATGCTTTCTTTGTTTTTGTCTTGAAGGCTTTGTTTGTATATAATTTCTGTAAAAATGTACTTGTTTCTCTGTCTTTGTATTTGTTTTTTTTTAGTCTTTTTTCTTTGTCTGTTATTGTCTTTAAGGACTGCTTAAATATGTATCTGTATAGGTTAAGTTGTTCTGTGATTTCTCTATACTTTCACCTTTCATGTCGTTTAGCTATTTTGGTTATATTTAAAATTATTATTAATGATTTTGGGATCATATCATCATCTCCATCAACCTTCCCAGGCCAAAATCATTAATATCTTTAATTTTCTATTTAGGATCGAAAATATCTTTGGCTTTTAAAATCTGACCCTGACCTGACCTTTGACCTGACTTCTGATATGATCTCTGACATGATTTCTGACCTGCTCTTTGACCTAACTTCTGACATGACTTTTGACCTAACTTCTGACATGACTTTTGACCTAACTTCTGACATGACTTTTGGCAACTTCAGACATGCTTTTTGACATAACCTCTGACATACTTTTTGACATAACTTCTGACATGACCTCTGGCATAACTTCTGACATGACTTCTGAAATTACATTTGACATAACTTCTGACATGACCTCTGACATAACTCCTGACAAGACTTCTGAAATTACCTCTGACATGACTACTGAACTGACCTCTGAGATGGCTTCTGACATGACCTCTGAGAACTGACCTGGGTGCCTGAGCATGTAGGGGAGGCATCCCACGAGGGGCCACGCCTTAGGGCCGGGGATGAGGGAGGCCGGGAGGAGGGCGGACGAGCCAGGTGGCACCCTCTCAGCGCCGTCGTCTCCAGCGAAGGTCCTCTGAGGCACTGTGGCGCCCCCCACCTCCTCCTCCTTGGCGTCAGGAAGGAGGAGGACGTCGGCGAACTCCTCCAGGATGTCGTAGGCCTCGAGGTACGGCGTTCCGGGGGCGATTTTGGTCCGCCAGGTTTCGCCGAGATTGCCGTCGGGTCTTTGGTCTAAGGTCTTGGTGAGTGAATTTTTGTCGGGGTTGTTGGCGAGGTTGCTGTCCGTGTTCTTGTCGAGGGTCCTGTCTAAGTTCCTGTTTAAGTTCTTATTTAAGTTTTTGTCTAAGTTCCTGTCTAAGTTTTCGTCTAAGTTTTTGTCTAAGTTCCTGTCTAAGTTTTCGTCTAAGTTCCTGTCTAACTTCTCGTCTAAGTTCCTGTCGATTCTTTGTCCAGTGTCCGTATCCCTGCGGTTGGAAGAGGTGGCTCTGGCGTCGGCAGTTCCACAGAAAGGGCGCGGGGACGTGTGGAGGAGGGCAGGGTACAGGCGGAAGGGGAGAGAGGGAGACCGTGCGCGATGTGGATTCAGGTGG